TTTTTTTTTTTTTTTCCCTCACACTTGTTGTGTCAGTACAGAGTCTACAGACCTATTCCACCTGGGAGCTGTCACTGTAGAGAGTGTGGATTCGTTTGTACACACATGCTGGAGGGGGCACCACCTTGCATGGCTGTGTGGCTTCCTAGTCAATGGCAACTGGGTCAAGCGACCCCTAACGTGCAGTTATGGCTGTGTTAGTGGTTATGCGAAGAGATGTCCCAATCCCCAGTCTTGCCATTCATGTGGACATTTGGAGCTTCCAGGAGAAGGACCCAAGGTGCGTGGGGGAGAGAGAATAGGACGGACCTGCAATCCGAGACTGAGGTAAATAGTGAATTGTTTCGTTTGTTTTTTTGTTTCTGAGATTGCATTTACATTGCCAATTTTTTTTGGGCATCATAGTTTTTTTTTTTTTTTTTTCTGCTTCAAATTACGAGGAGGAGAAATTCCGGTTGTTGTCATCATGAACAAGAAGCATGTGCGGAAACAAACGGGGATTTCTACTTCACTGCGGCCCTGAGCACTCCAGCAGATATTATACGAGGGGGCACTGTGGCCTCGCTGCCAAGCAGGTTATCATGACTTCGAAGAGGTGCTGAACAGGCTTGCTATGTCGCGATCATCGCGCTTTCCTGTTCAGGATGTGGAGTCCTCCGAGCCAGAGGAGCAATGGTGTTACGATCATGCTTTCCTGTTTTGGATATGGAGCCCTCCGAGCTTGAGGAGCTATGGTGTTGTGTTTCCATGTCGAAGAGCGCAAACTGCGGTCCGGGGAGGGGAGGCGGCCGGTGTAAAGTTATGTTAAGGTGGACGGATGATGGGGGGGTGGAATGGTACCAAGGACGTTCCGAGGACTATTGTGAGGCTGGACCCAGCAGTTTTGGAGTGTGAAGGGTTTGGCACATATGTACAGTCATAAAAGCCAGCGCCTAATGAGAAGCGGGTCATCAAGCCCCGACATACTTTAAGAGGGGGGGAGGGGTTGGGCATGGGGGTTTTGAGAAGAGAGGGGGGGGGGTAGCATGGAGGGGAAGACTGGAGGTGGGTGGGAGAGGTGCCAGGTACGGCAGAAGGGAGAGGTCATTCTAGACGCACGAGGGTTTATTGCCGATAAATGCGTGGACAGACGAGGAGACGAGAGCAAGAAGCTGATGGTTGGAGGTTAGAGAGCATCATCGGTCGTACAAGTACATTGCCCGTGAAGGAAGGACGACAGGGGGAAGGAGGGGTTGTCCTCCTTTGTGAGGGGTTAACTGTATGTTTGTGCTCTGTGTTGATCTCTTCCCACAGACATACAGTGATGGGGTTTCTTCCTGAAGTGTTTCCCACCCCTCTTGCTGGCTCATACTGTGTCTTCCTATTTTGATTGTGTCTATTTCTTCCTATTCCCATTGTGTCCATTTCTTCCTATTCCCATTGTATCTATGTCATCCTATCTCGATTTTGTGTCTATGTTGTCTTTCGTTCGAGTGTGCATATGACAGCAGCTGGAGGGAGGAGTTGTTGGGGTGGAGATTAGGGGTGAGCGTGGCAAGGGGGAAAGGGGGGGCGGGCGAGAGGAGAGGGGGAGGGGTTCAAATAAGCGGTGGATGGAATGTCGAAGTGCACACATTACTTTTCTCCAGTTACCCGATGTCAAATCATCTCATATGGGGAGGGGGGGGGGGCAGGGGGGGCAGGGGGGTATATCAGGCTGTTTCAGGAAAGTGAAGTGAGTATTGAGGTGGCGGTGTGGAGAACACGCTCAGGTGTGAATGCTCGAGCTGTGTGTGGGGTTGATTGTGTGCCTGTGTCTGGTTCAACCTGGTAGCGAAGGGGAGAGGGGTGTAGTACATGTGTGTGAGGTGGAGCGGGACATCGCTATAGACATTGCTATAGTCCTCATTCAGTGAACTACAGTTGATTGGTTGGTTCCTTTCTGAGCAATCTCATCATGTCTGAATTTGTCGAAACACATGGAGAGCCTATTGTTTCCCGAGGGTAAAAAAAAGGGATAATTTGCAAAATACCCCCATAAATTGAGATACAACTTCATATAAGACAAAATGCCCCTGAATTTCCTGAAAGATGTCAGTAGAGTGGAATGCCCTTTCGGGGCGAAATCTTTGTGTTATGCCCCTGTCACGCCTGTGTGCAAATTTGTCGTCTCGACCTCGCCGTTTGGGCCTTGGTCGTTTGCAATCGGGCTGGTATAGACAATGGTGGTGGGAAGGTTGTGTGCCCTCTCTCTCATTTATTGAATGCTTGTTGTCGTAGTGGACATCGAATGAGCTTGAAATCTGTGTTGGGAAAAAAAACAGGAAATGTGGTGTTTGTTTGGTGATTGTTGCAGAGGTCGAGGATAGATTGGATTCGATTGTGCTTCTGTGATATCTAAATGGTGCCTTTCATTTCAGGGTATATGGACCATTGTCCAACTGAACATCACTTGTGATATATTCTTTCTACCTTCTAATATAGGCTTGGGCACTGACCCCCTTAAAGCACCAGTACATGGGCACCTGGGCCGCGGGCCTGACACCTCAAATTCTGGAGGCGCGAAACGAAACCACGACCGCCGATCTAATTTATCAACGGTGGGCGCGGCGTTGACGTTTCGGCCTCGTTTTCTTGTGGCAACAAGTTTCGGACTGCAAGGCTGGGGCCGCGTACTGGTGGTTTAACTAGAAAAGCGCAGTAAAAAGCCACACACACACACGCACACACAGATATATATATATATATATATATATATATATATACGAAACAGTTTGTCACAGCCCCTCGTTTGTTG